CCGGCGTCGGCGGCGCGCCATCGCCGCATGAACCTACCGTAACAATCAAAACATTGAATGGAACATGTGATTAAGTTGTTTGAAACATGTTCTAAACCTGCTTAACACGTGTTGTTTCACATGTTTGAGACATGCTTAACACACGTTTAGACATCTAGAAATGATTTGGCGACATGCTTCCTCTCCATGGATCGTCGTCCACAAAGCAAGGAAGGGCGTCCGCCAGCTCTTCCTCCAGCGAAGCCACGCCTCGGGCTCGAGACCGCCAGAAAGCACGACTTGGCAAACGCATGCTGCGCAGCCAGCCTCGCGGGCCCATCGAACCCCACCGCGCGCACGTTGCAGAGCGACCCCGCAGCAAGCTCGCTGGGCGACCTGGCCACCTGGCGACATCCCGACAGATAGATGCGCATCGACGCCCTAGAGGCAGCCAAGAACCCACCGCCACGACGCCGAAATCGAGGGGCGAGGGGGGAGCTCCGCTCCACAGGGGCTTCGGGGGCGAGGAGCGGGTGGCCACCAAGCCCCGAGCTGTTTCACGGCGATTCTGTGCTCGATCCACCGAGAACCTCATCGTGGAGGCGTGACGCGTGGGCGGAGGATAACGGCCGGGACGGGGCACGCTGCCTTGTACGTCACCAAGCGTGCCGAAACCGACGGGGGGAGCGCGAGCACCGCTCCCGCGGGGGTGGGGGCGAGAAGCGCGCCCTGCGCCGCGGGCTTGCGAAGGAGATCCCCCCCGCGCGGCAGCGGCCTGCACGGAGGCGCTCTGCGTCGGGCGCGGCCGGAGAGCTTCACACGGGCCCCTTGGCGCCGTCGAGGGCGGGAGGACGCAGCGCGCACCCGGGCCGTAGGTCGGCCCTCGGCTGCCCTGGCAGGCGCTCTCGCGGCGGGCAGCCAGCGAGGGGCGCCCCAAGAGACAACCTTCCTCCTCCTCCTCCTCCTCCTCCTCCTCCTCCTCCTCCTCCTCCTCCTCCTCCTCCTCCTCCTCCTCCTCCTCCCTCCTCCTCCTCCTCCTCCTCCTCCTCCCTCCTCCTCCTCCTCCTCCTCCTCCTCCTCCTCTCCTCCTCCTCCTCCTCCTCCTCCTCCTCCTCCTCCTCCTCCTCCTCCCTCCCTCCTCCTCCCTCTCCTCCTCCTCCTCCTCCTCCTCCTCCTCCTCCTCCTCCTCCTCCTCCTCCTCCTCCTCCTCCTCCTCCTCCTCCTCCTCCTCCTCCTCCTCTGTGACCAGCGCACTCGCGGAGCGATCAGACATATCGGGTCGGGCGAAAGGGGGGGATAGCAAAGGGGGGGTTTGAGAATCAGCTCATGTAGCTGAGTTCCCTGGCGCCTCCCGGCGCCGGAGGCGGCTCATGTATCGAGGAATGGGCCCCTCGGTGAGGCCGAAACCAGCTGCATGCAGCAAATTTCGTAACCCCCCCTTTCCCAATCCCCCCTTTCGTCCGGCCCGAACACAAGCTCCACACCTAGCAGCTGATGATGACAGGGCGGGGAGGAACCCAGAAGGCGCGGAAGGTAGCGAACTCGGCGCATTCGCCCATGTTCCTCAATGGGCATCCTGCCCGCTCCAAACGGCACATCCTGGTACCTGAGAAGCTGGCCTTCCCCCCGATTTCTGCAAGGAAGGCTTTGTGCACCATGGTCGATGAACTCAGGGGCAACGCGCAGCTTGGCTTAGGTCGGGCATGTCCCCCTACAGGCGGATGTAGCAAGAGAAAAGAATACCCCAAACGCATTCGAAGAATGACAACAATACAAACAAAATCGTCCCTGGACTATGTTTTGACTATTTTTGAATATTCCTCCTGTAGAGGAGGCAACGCGAAGCTTGGCGTGCAAAATGGCGCAGTTGTGGGGGGCCACGTGCCCAGCCACATAGAGGAAGCCTGGAAACGCCGAGCGCCTCAGCATAGAAAGTATTCTTGGCCAGGGACGCGAAGCGGTGGGCACGACAACTTTATACGGATGTGCCTGATGGCCCCCGGGTCCGACATGCATCGAAGGTGAAGCTCAGAGGAAAAAACACCCAGATCCTGAATGACTGCTCCTGGCACTTCTGAGTGCGAACAACAGCCTCTGGCACCCGAAGCAGCTCAGAAAAGACAGGTGGGAGAGACAGCCCGAAATGACTTGGGCGAAAAGCCGCTGACTCAGAGCCCATGAAACACGTAAGAAGTTTGATATTGCTGCCATCGGATATTACTCTTCTGCGGATGCATGCGTGAAAACACACGGTCAAGCATGAAACGTGAGGCGTCCATGAAATCATGCACCTTCGTATTCATGATGGTCGTAGTGAGATCACCCATATACGAAACAGAGTTGTGTGGGTGGCTTTGATCTTGGTAAAAAAAAAGGCAACAAAGACAGCACAGGAGGAAGGCCCACCGCGATAGCACACAAGGCGGCTCGCTGCAAGGCGTATACGGCCCCTTTCCGGGTGCCGGAAACCTCAATGCTAAAGATGCCCGAAGCAAGCACCGTGCCTGGACTGGAGCCCAAGTCTGGGAGAGTAGGGGTCGAAGCATCAAGGATCTTCCACAATGAGCTCCGCTGCGACTCCTTAAGCAAAGCCGCCACAGCTGGCACATCCACACACTGGTCGAGAACGCTCTCGGATTGCGACGAAGCCCTGAACCCAACGAGAAGAAACTGCTGGGATAAACAGCTTGGAAAGGGTGTCCTCCAACAGGTCCCCTATCAGCGGAAGCTGCAGGGCGATCTACATAAGAGCAGTGCAGAAGGCTGGATCAAGGTCCAAAGAAAAGGTGTCAGCTGCTACGCTGAAGCCTCGCCGCCACAGCAGCCAAGGACCTGACGCGGTGGATCGCCTGGGGTGTAGGGACCAGGGCGGCCTCCACACTGGATGACAAGCAGCCTCCACTGGAGATGCTTCTAGTTGTTGTGCAGTTGATCTCTCAACATGTGTTTTATGCTGTGTTCCATCTTCTCATGTGTTTCACTCTTCAGGGTGTTTGTAATGCTCATGTTCAGATGTGTTTATGGTGTTTCCAGTCTTCGTGTTCATATTGTGTTGTCTGGCTTCTCATTCTCAAGGGATCCCCACGCCGTGCCCCCAACCTGCTTTATGGTGCAGCTTGCCAGTCACACTGGCCCAGAGAATCCGTCGACCCTGCCGGCGTGTGTGAGGGGCTCGTCTGTTCGAGCCGTCGTCCCCGTCAGCCGTCGTCCCCGTCGCCCCCCTTTTGCCGCACCCTCCTCCTCAAGCCTGTCAGCGAGAGGAACAGCTGGCCGTGTCGCAATCGAGTCGGAGGGAGGCCCCGCCCCCTTGGATCCCTCCCCCGTGGGGGAGCCGAAGGGAAGCCCCGTCCCGCTGATCCTTCCCCCGTCGGGGCGAGGGGGTCCCGGGGAGGGGGGGAGGTGGGGGGGGGGGGAGGGGTCGGGTTAGGTCGGGCATGCCCCCCTAATTACAGGGGGATTCTCGATGAAGAAGTAAACAGACTCAGAAAATACCCAAGAATGGTTCAACAATGCTCCAAGAATCGTCCCACACTATATTTGGACTATTTTTGAATGTTCGTCCTGTAGAGGGACACGCCTGACGTAAGGGTAGGGGGAGGGGTCAGATGCGCATCCCCCCTGGGGGTCTCAGACAATAACGAACACGGCAGGCCAAGGAGTGCCCCAAGAGGCCCCTGAGCCGATCCAAGAGGGCCCCCAAATCGCCAAACTGTCGGTCCCAAGCGCCTTCACGCCCCTCCCGGCTGCCCAGGAAGCCTCCAAGACGCCCCAAGAAGCCTCCATGAGCACTCCCGAGAAGGGCCCCACGAGGCAAAATCAGCTGTTTCCCCTTCTGTTTTTTGTTCTAAAAAAACAACGAATTGGGGCGTTCTCGCCTTTTCCCCTCCCCGCCGCTCCAAGAAGGCCCAGGAGGCCCCCAAGATGGCCCCAAGACGACCCAAGAGGCCTCCAAGAGGACCTCCAAACAACCCAAGAGGACCCCAAGAGGACCCCAAGACACCCCACAACGCCTCCAAGGCGGCCCAAGAGGCCCCCCAAAGACGGCTCTAAGAGCGTGCCCAGACGGGGGAACCGAACTGACACTTCGAGCCCTCGGCCCCGAAGCAACTAGCGGCTCAGCGAAGGGCGGAGCAGGAGGGAGAGGAGAGTTCGGGGGGCCGGCTCCAGGTGGCTCTCAGGCCCAGGCACGCCAGAGGGGGTGAGAGGGGCTTGGCTGTCCCCCGCCACCAGAGGAGGAGGGGGAGGAGGGGGAGGAGGGGGAGGAGGAGGAGGAGGAGGAGGAGGAGGAGGAGGAGGAGGAGGAGGAGGAGGAGAAAGGAGGAGAAGGAGGTGGAAGAGGAGGGAGGAGGAGGAGGAGGAGGAGGGAGGAGGCGGAGGAGGAAGGGAGGAGGAGGATGGAGGAGGAGGAGGAGGAGGAGGAGGAGGAGGAGGAGGAGGAGGAGGAGGAGGAGGAGCAGGAGGAGGAGGAGGAGGAGGAGGCGGGGGGGGAGAGGGAGGATGGGGAGGAGGGAGGGCCAGTTGAGACACCCGCGGCACTCCTGCCCAGCCCCAATCCGCTCAGAATCGGTCCCCCGAAACCTCTGTCGGGTGCCCCCCTGGCCCGTTTCTGTATCGTCCCTGAACGTGGTTCCTGGGGAGGAGGATTCCAGGCAGGCTACATCCCTTGTCGCCATGGCTGGTTTCGAAGACTCGTCGCTCCAGGTCGGTCCTCCTTCCGCCCGTGTCCGAGGCGGGGTATTAAAAGTCGGCATTCGCTGCCGAGGCAGTCTCGCTTGCTCCCGCGGGGGCTCGCAGGGGCCTTCTGAGGTTCCCCTCTTCTGTTGCTCGCAGGCGGCGTCTCTGTGGCGCCAGGGGTCCCAGGGCTCCCGTGGTGGTTCGCAGAGGTTCTCTGAGGGCCCCGTCGCAGTTGAGGTGGCGCCTCGGTGCCGAGCGTGGTGCCCCAGGAGGGTGCTTGGTAGGACATTGCGTCGTCTCCAGGCCGTGGGCTTGTTGCAGGCAGTGGGCTTGTTGCTGGCGTCGCCATGCTTTTGCGCCAGAAGCTCGCCCGTGCTTTGGAGCTCGGCCAGAACGACCAGATCGAGGCGCTTTTGTGCAAACTTGACAGGGACGTGCTGCAGGACGCCAAGTTCCAGGTCTCGCGGCGCGCGGAGGAGGTCAGCTAGGCGACCGCGAAGCAGCCCGCCGCTGCCGGCGGCAAGGCCGGGGCGCCCAAGGGCGACAAGCATGGCGGCAAGGGCGGCGGCGGCGCCAAGACCGCTCCTGCCCCGGCGTCGCCTGTGCTGCAGCGCTCCAGGAGCCCGGCGGCAGGCAAGAAGCCGAAGGGCGTGGGCGCCGGGGGCAAGCAGCGCGAGCAGAAGTGGGAGCAGACTTGGGGCAAGTCGCAGCACTGGAAGCAGTCTGACCAGAAGTGGCCGCAATGGTGAGAGGACTGGGAGAGTGCACCCAGCGACGCGTCTTCCGACGTGGAGGGGCTCTCGGAGAGCCCCGCTGGCGCTTCGGGCGTCGGGCACGCTTCGGTGCGCTCCGAGCTGCAGCGGGTGCGTTTTTGCAAACCTCTTCCGGTTCTGGGGGCGAGTGCCCCTTGCGCCACCTCGACTGGGCGCTGCGCCTCCCAATGTGCTCCGGGTTGTTGGAGACACCCGAGGCGTACAGGTTAGCTATGAATTGGCATTGTGCCGACCCTATAGTGCAGTCGTTGATTTCAGAACCCGCCAGCTGGCATATTGGCAACATCGCCAGCGCGTGATGGCCCCAGTGTGGCAGACTCAATACGCGAGTCTCCCCGCCCACGTGCGGTCCATCCTGGGGCCAGAAAAGAATCTGGTGCTGCTCGCCGAGATGTTGAAGGCGGCCGGCTCGCCAGACTTGACATTGGCTATGGATCTGGCGCGCGGTTTCCCTCTCGTCGGGGAGATGCCGCGCAGCGGCGCCGTGCGCCCGTGCACTCCGGGGCCCAGGGAGTCCCCGGGGCGGCTCCTCGTGGGCGCGCCGGAAAAGAACGAGCGCATCCTTAGGAGAATCAGGGCAGCAGGGCATTCGGACGCTAACGTGGCCGAGGCCCTGCGCGACCGCGCGCGCGCCGAAGTGGAGGCTGGCCAGGCCTGCTGCCGCCCGCCGCCGCCGGGCCTCGCTGGCGTCGTGCTGTCGCCGCGATTCGGCCCCGACGAAGGTTGGCGCGTCGTGGGCGGTTGGCGGTCCCGGAAGGCACGGGCCATCGACAACCTCACAGCCTCTGGGGTCAACGCCACGGCCGCGGCGCACGAGAGCATCGCGCATGACACGCTGGACCGTTTGGTGGCCGCTGTCCAATCCCTGGCCGCAGGCGGAGCCAGCGTGGAGCACGTGCGCTTCCGGAAGGACGAGGTGTGCGTTGCATACATAAGACTCTCCCAAAGTGCACCAGGGCCACATGTCGTTTGCAGCCGCCGTAACGGCTGACTCGGCGGAGCGGGGCTCGTTCCTGCAGCTGCTTTATTGCCCATTTGGGGCCAAGGCGAGTGCCCACGCGTGGCAGCGCTTAGGTCTGGCCTTCCAGCGCTTTCCGTTGTACCTGCTTCGCATAGTGTACCCGCGCTTCGTGGACGATTTTTTCGGGGCGGATGCGGACAGCGCTCTGCCCGGAGATGGCGCGGTCTCCAGTGCCCCCTTGGCGCGCCTGGTCATCCAGGAGCTGCTTGGGCGGCGGCTTGACCCTCAAAAGTCGGTCACGGCTGCTCGCAGCTTTGTAGCGCTCGGCGTGAGCGTCTCTAGACGCAGCGGCACGGCTGCTGCGCTTTGTCGTAGTGGCTGGCAGAGATTTCTGGCATTCTCGAGAGCCAGAGGCTCACGCCAGCAGGCGCGCAGAAACTGGCGGGGCGGCTGAGCTGGGGAGCCGCGGAGGTATTCGGAAAAAAAGTGCCCGCGTGTACCTGGCGCCACTCTTCCGGCATGCTTGCGGCAGCAGCAGTCTGATGCCAGCGCGCCTGGTCAGGGCGCTGGACGCATCCCCGGAGGAGCATACCACTGGAGCCGTCCGCCAAACTGCACCTGGTGGTTTACACGGACGCAACAGGTGCAGGCACGTTGGCTTGGGTCGCGGCGCTTGCAGGTCAGCGCTTGTTTTCGTCTGCGTTCGCGCCCCGCTGGCTCACCCAGTGGGCGTGCTTCCGTAGGCAGCAGATTGCCACGTGGGAGCTGGTCGCCGCCGTTTGTGCTTTGTGGTATTTCTTTGAATCTGTCGCGGGCGCCGGCAGCCTCGACATCGTGCTGTTCATTGATTCGTCGGTGGCGCTGGGCACGCTGCTTCGCGGCTGCTCGCGCCAGCTGCACTGGAACGAGGCAGTGTCCGGCATCTGGTTCGCAGCGGCGGACCAAGGCCATATTTGGAATATTTTTCGAGTGCTCTCGCACCTCAACGTTGCAGATTGGCCTGCCTGGGAAGAGCGGAAAGCCACATAAATGCAGCAGTTGACGGCCAGTGGCTTTAGTCGGGTCGTTCGGACCAAGCCGCCAGTGGATTTTTTGGGGGTACGAGCACGCGGGGGAGCAGCGCGATGCGCCAGGAGAAAACGATGGAAAAAGGAGCTGGTCTATCGTCCATTGATCGTTGTCGGTCAGCGTGCCGCCGTGGCGTTCTCTGCGGTTTCCAGGGGCCCTCTCAGTGGCTTTAAACGGGAGGGCCGCGCGCGTCTCGCAATCCGTCCAGGGGCAACTTTGGACTTCGGGCGCCCGGGGCGCCCCGACGCGCCGTGCGCGCCACCATCCGTAGCCATCTCGGCCCAAGATGGACCGGAAACGTTTGCGGGGGAAGATGGCGGCCCGGCTCTGGCCCCGCGCGCGTTGCCGGCAAGCCTGGCTGCGCCGCCACTGGCCCCGCCGGACCTGAGCGAGTGGTTCGCCACCAGCGGTGCTCAGGCGCGCGCCTCCTGAGTGCCATCCGCAGTCGCCCCATTGCGTCTTGGGGGAGCTGGCTGCTGGCGGCGCCGTCGATGGAACAGATTTTTCCGGTTTGGCCGTCCAGGAACTGAAGGAGGTGTGGCCGTGCCTCCGCGACCTCCGAGACGAGTTCGTGGCGGCCTTGTGCACCGGGTCGGCCCGCCCCGCGGCGGGGGCGCCCTCTGCTCAAGCAGGAGCCCGCGTTCCGCGGGCCGCGCCCGCGCCGCCGCCTGGCGGAGCGCCCGGGGCAGGTAATCAATCAGGCGCAACTGGGGGACAAGGCGCCGGATTCGGGACTTGCTGCAGAGGTCGGCGACGCGGCGTTGGCGGCGCTCGGGTTCCTCGCCGCAGCACGCCTCCGGCGCGAGGTCGTGGCGCTTGGGGAACTGGCGGACGCGGTGCAAGACTTGGGCCGCGTCACGCCGGAGGAACTGCTCCATGCGTGGGAGAAGCGCCACGGGGTCACTCCCAGCACCCCCCGGGAACGCTCGCCCGTATCAGGCACGAGGTGGCAGGGTTCATGGCAACGCAGGAACTCCTCAGGCGCGAGTTCCTTGCGTGGCATCGCAACGTATACAAGTATGCCTCTCCAGTGCGCCTGTGGGGGCAAGTGGCCCGGAACCTCGGGGTGCAACCCTGGCCCCCAGCGGAGCCTGTGCTGGGGGCGTTCGCTTTTGCAGTGCAGAACGGGGCCAGTCTGACGACGTACTGCACGCGGATCCGCGCCGTGCTCAGGCTGCTCCACATGGCGCTGGGGTGCTTGGAGGACACGTCATGCTTGGCGCGCGGGGTGAGCAAGGCACCGGTGGTCACCCGGCGTTACCGGGCGGGGGGGTTCGGCGCGCGCAGCACGTCCGGGAGGTGCTGGGCGACCCTGCGACGGCGGATGCCTTCGTGGTGGCCAGGCAGTTCTGCTTCCGTTTCGCTTCCGAGCTGGTGCCCCTGCAAGCAGACGGGCCCCACTCCAAGGTGGTCCTGTCCGCGGACCGCCGACGGCGAGCGTGCATCTGCATACATAGGCGCAAGACGTGCGCGGATCCGAGACAACGGTCGTGTCCAGGCGGTGCATTTGCGCCCTGCAGTCACGGCAACTTTGCGGAGTGTGCGTGCTTCGTGGCCGTGTTCAGACAGGCCGGGTGTTCCCGGCGCTGTCCTGCAGGCACGCCCTGTCCCAGCTGAAGGTTGTGGCGCTGGCGTTGGGGTTCGAGCGAGCCGCAGAATGGGGCACGCATGCCTTTCGCAGCGGCTGGGCCGACGAGTGCCTGGCTGCCATGGGCGTCCCGGCGCTGTTCCACAGCGGGGGATGGCGCGGGGTGGCCGCCTTCGGTTACGCCTCGGCGGCGTCGCGGAGCGCGGCGACTGCGGCGGAGTGGCTCGTCAAGTTCTCGGAGTGGTCTGCGTCCGAGGAGGCGCCCTTGCCCTGAGCCAGACAGAAAAGGACGGCTCTTGCGTTGGTCCGCTTCGCCTGCGCATAAGGCTGGCGCCTTCCATTCCGCCGTTCCCGGGCGCCCTCCGCGGCGTCGCGTTCAGTGTTGCGGCAGGCGGATGCTGCGGTCACGTCGCCAGCAGTGGGGTTGTGGCCTGGGTCGCCGTGAGCCCCAGCAGTGGGTCTCGAGTTTTCTGCGAGGGTCTCTCGAACGCCCCAGGCTGACCGCACCGAGCGTGTTGCCCAAAGGTCCGTGCGGGCGCACCCACCAGCCCTCTGGGCGCAGGTGGTCTAGGGCGTTTCCTTTTCCAACCTCCTTCCTTTCCCTGCTTGGGATGTTTACCTCCCCCCTTCCATGCGTTTGGACGGGGGGGGGCCCGACCCATAGCAGCGTCCAAAATGGCCCAAGATTGCTCCAAGAGGGCCTCAGAGAGCGCAAGATGGCCTCCAAGATGGCCAAAGATAGCGGTAGATGGGTCAAGATAGTCTGCAACACACGTCCAAGAGGCCTCAAGACGGTCCCAAGACGATTGAAGGTGCTGTCCGAGGCCCCCGATGACCCCCCAAGAAGCCAAAATTCCTCGAACATTTGAGGAACAAATGTTTGTTTGCCGTCTCGCCGTTTCGCCTCCGATGGGCTCTTGAAGCCTCAAGATGGCCCCAGGACGGTCCAAGATAGCCCCAAGAGGGGCCCAAAAGGGCCCCAAGACGGCCTCAAGAGCGCCCCAAGAGCGGGCCAAGAGGGCCCCAGGACGGCACTTTTGAACCTCCGATGGGGGGGTCCGAATTAAAGGCCTCCCTCTTTTTAGGGGCCTCCCGAAAGAGCCCAAGAAGGCCCCCAGACCCCCCGAAAGAGCCCCAAGAGGGCCCCAAGACGCCCCAAAAGAGCCCCAAGAGGGCTCCAATAAGGCCCTAAGAGGACCTCAAGAGTGTCCCAAGAAAGAGCTCCAGGAGGGCCCCAAGAGGGTCCCAAGAGAACCCCAAGAGAGCCCCAAGATGGCTCTAAGTTTCGAAACGCACGCGAGCTTAAGATACAAATCGGTGCAACAGCCATTACGAGTCATCGAAACACCCCATCACCCCTCATCGAAGCACCATCGTAGCTTGCACTGATTTCCAGCTGAAACTTCAATGCGGGAAGCTATGTGTGATCCTTGTTTTCCCGAAGACTGCTGCGCGACTGCATGCGTCCTGCCGCCCCTGATTCACCAACTCCCCTGCTGATCGTTTCTGAAAGGCTGGTGGGGATACATTTTAGTCAGCGGCCGCGGGCGGGCGCGCCAGCGGCGAGTCCAGTCAAAGCGGGGCACGCAACGACGAATTAACCTGAAGCGGCGGGGCGAAGCCTCACGCAGCAGTGGAAGGGGCTGGCTGTAGCTGAATACAAATACTGACAAGGTGCACGTATGCAATGCGTCGGAAGCTGCAGGAAGTCGGGAAGACCGGCGACAAAGGACAGCAGCAGACGTGTAATTAGATGCAAGGGCGTAAGCCCCCAGACTACTGCAGGTACCAGGGCTGCCGCAGCCAAGGGAACCGACTGACGGAGGTCGACTGGTGGGGATACTTTTTTTTGGTCGCGGCCGCGAGCGAAGAGCGCAGGCGGCGAACAGGGTGTCCGGGCCGACGGGCAAGCCTAATTAGCTACTGAGCGCGACACAAGCCAGCCGGACCAGCTCACAAGGCGGCAGCTGGGGCAACAGGGCAGTGGCTGGCTGGCTGATCTGGGACGCCCAGGGAAGCTCGAGCAACGTGCAGCCCAGAGCAAAATGCCAGGGAATTCTGTGTTACGCGCTGCGGCGTCAGACCACAAATGTGGAGGTGCAAGCTGAGACAGGTGGGTGACCTGCACGTGCGATCCTCTCATGCTGGGTGGGCGTTCAGGCAAAAAGAACGATGGGCGAGTCGCCAGTGGGGCGCCAGGCCCAGGGCCGTCCCAGCGGCGTGTGCGGGCTAGGGGATCTGAGCTGCCGAGGGACGTCGGAAACCTGCCTGATGAAGGGAATGAGTCCAAGGTGCTGTTGCGACTGCAGAAGGCTCAACCACTCCGGCGCGACCACAATACCCAAGGGGCCATCGTCCCGTGCCCGATGGAGGCCCGGACGTCAGTGGGCCGGCCCCTCCAACAACGGCACAGAGCCGACGCCAGGTGGACAGTAGGAGAAAGCCAGGCTGGCGTGGTGAACGTCGCCAGCGAGGCAGGGGGATCCAGGGAGGGCGCTGCGTGAGGCCAAGCTGGCGGGAGAGAAAAAACGCCAGCCAGGTGGGGCGTCCAGGGTGGAACTGCACGGCAGCTGCCGCCTGATGTAC